GATGGGAGCGCTGCACAGGGGTGGATTTGGTGTTTCTGAACAAAAACCTGCTTGTGAAGAGAAGAGACGTGCACAAAGTCCAGCCCTGCAGCCAATTTTCAGTGTCTTTTCCTGCATAAAGACCAGGGACAAGCCAGTTGCAGTGCACACACACAGAGGCATCCTCTGGCTTCCCGCGGGACTGAGATGTGGCAGAGAGGCATCAAGGTAAAAGAACCGTGCTTTGGAAAGTTTTAGCTGCTGAAAGAGGCTTTGAAGATGTTTGAGGAGGAAGGATTTCTGTGGTTCTTTTGTACATAGTTTACACAGCCAACCTTTCAAACTGCTAACAGAGTCCAGAGCCTAGAAACATTCACAGTTGCTTCAAAGTTAAGGGTTTTGTCTTGTTAAGTCATTACATTATCTGAGTATAAACCAAAGAGTTTTCAGCTCTGAATAATTTAGGTGAAAGAGTTAGCCCTAGGCCAGGTGCTCTACTTAGGGAGATGGTGAAATAAATTATTCAGAAAGTGAGACAGGTAAAACAGATGGAAAAGGCAGCCAAAACAAGACACCCAGAGGGCAGCTGTTTTGCAGGTCCCCTGTGAAGCACCTCACTTACTAGGAGGGCTGTGGTAATGAGTCAAGCAGTGGTGTTGAAACTGAACTTTGCCTTGTTAATTCACGTGGTGGTCACAGGGAATACAAGTACTGATACCTAGAAGCAACCACCACTGGGTCCAAGCCTGTGTAATCCATACTTTAACATTAGAGAGTACATTCATAAAGCACTTAGGACAGAGGTTCCTAAATTATTTGATTTTGAAAATTATCTTCAGTGAAGAGGGGAAAAATGCACTTCTCAAAATATTTAATGAATTTAAACACTTTTTCAAACACAAAGAATCGTAGAATGGCCTGGGTTGGAAAGGATCTTAAGGCTCATTGATTTTCATCCCCCTGCCATGGGTAGAGACACCTTCCTCTAGACCAGGTTGCTCAGAGCCCTGTCCAACCTGGCCTTGAACCAACCCTTCCATGGACAGGGCATCCACAGCTTCTCTGGGAAACTTGTTCCAGTTGCATGAGTCTTCCCACTCATATCTTGATTTCAAATTTTGATTTAACTTGTACAATTTGGAGTGCATTTTTCAAGGCAATTTGGGATTCCTACTACTTCTGTTTATGGTCATATGTGTCAATTTTTCTAGAACACATAATTTCAACAATGATAAATAAAGTCCTTTGATATTAAAAGTACTCAGATAGTCCAGGAACTTATGCCAAAGCAATGAAAAGTTCTAAATTATCTTGCCATTTTTACTGACAAGTGAACATTTTACTGGCTTTTACTGTCAGTCAGTGTTTGATTCTTTTGCTAATGACAATCACTACTGATGGCTGGCAATGTAAGACAAGTGTCATGAATGTATATGAAAGCTGACACAATTTTTTTTTTAGGAAAACCAAATAAACAAATCACTGCAATGCTGATTTTCATTCCCATAATACAGTAACTACTCACACAAATAATTGTTCTGGTTATGAGGGAATAAGTTGCCTGTGCAAATGGCAAATTAGATGTACAATTGTCCAGTGGGATGTTTTTTGAACAGAAGCTTGGTACTTTGCCCAAGTCTGTCTCACTAGGGGTGAGCTTTCACCAAGAAGAGAATCCCAATCCCAATCCCATCCCTACCCTAATCCCTCTCTCTCCTGCTTCCCTGCCCCAGGAGCAAGTGGCAAAGAGCACAAGAGAGGAAAGAAAAAGGAGACACCTGAGCAAGGAAAAGAGGGAAACAGATTAAAGACTTCACTAAAGGAAAGCACTGTGAGGAAAGAATACTGGTGTGGCCAACACTGAGGAAATCCTTCTATAATTTCATCATCCTAGATTCCGATACCCTCCTGGGAAATGGCACCAAAGTTGCATTGTCCTTGCTGTCTTCCTGGAGAATCTGATTCACAGCTGGGCCTTGAAAATTTCAACCCATTCCTATTTTCTGTATCTTCTCCTTGTTGAGTTACCCAGTGGCTGGGCCCTGTGGGGCAGAAACCCTACCTTGGCATTTTCTGTTTGTGATGTCCAGCATGATAAATCCTCACTCTCACTGGGGCTGGGTGTAAGTGTAGCACAGACAACACATTACAGACAACCCCTGCAGAAAGCACACTTATACATAGATCTGGATAGCAACACATCCCCTGTGGTCTTTAGATTGTATATTCCTTATTTTTCTGTACTGCAGAAAGGTTTTAATGAAGAAAACACATTCATGTTGCTATTGTTGCAATATAGGCTATTGTGGTAATAATTTCTCATTAAGGAATTCTCTAAATCTAGTAGAGACCTAGTAGAAATGACCTAGTACCTTGAAATGCAAACAACTTTTTTCAGGTATAATTTGTTTGTTGAAGTCATGCATTTATGAAATTGTGATAAATTGTGTGAAAATTAATGTAAAAAGGTTGTGGCTTTACTAAAATTCCAGGCGGAATTGTTACAACAGTGAAATCTCATGTTTAATCTCAAATTACAGTAAAGGTAGCACAGAAGGGCTCAAATGTAACCTTTTAAAAAAGTTAACCTTTTTCTTTTCAACTTTGCTCTAATGTAACAGTTCTTCTTAAGTAACACTTTATGGAATTGTTTTCCAAAATGAGTGTAAGATGATCTTTGGCATCCTCAGGAAGTTTCTTTTGCTGTTTAATAGGAATTATTAGATATTCTTGCTGTCTGCTGGCTCCTCTGAGCTGACATTCTGCTTGTAGTTACCTGAGATATTATGTAAGACCAAGAATTTCAGTTATTTTCTAGTCAGGCAAGTGAGTATGTGAGCTAAGGATGGCACTTGGTCAATAAATCTTTTCACTTCCTTTGCACTTCCTTTGATCTCCAAGGAGGATTTTGCAATCCTCTTCAAAGAAAACAATATCCGCTGATGTCCATCTTTTCTGATTCCCTCTTGATATCTTTCCTTCTTTGTGACCGTCACTGTGGCTTCCTGACTGCTTTCATTTGGTAGCTAACTGAGATATACTTGAAGCATTTACTCTTCTTTCATGTTTCTGTTTTCTTGGCCCTGTTCTCATTTTACCAATGTTTTAATTAACCTTATTTTCTGTCTCTTCCTCCTAAAAAAGGAGATATTTTTCTTTTATGTTTTTTTTTACCATTGTTTATACTCATCTCTTCATTTGATACCCTTTTCCTAAGTGATATTTTTATTAATTTAATGATTATATCGAATTTGCATGTCTGTCTGTCATCTGCATATCGGTATACTCCCTGTGGCACTTTTTCTTCTGGATGAATGTTTGTTACACAGTAAGATTATCCTGTAAATACTACTTAGAAACTGTTTTCAAATCATGTAATCACCTTGCAGTTCTATTTTGAATTCCCATCCTAAAAGAAAAAAAACATATATATCTAATTGCATTAGTGAGGTCAGGTGAATTACCCAGTAGCTCAAGAAGGGATTGTGATTTCACCTCATTAGAAGGTTTTTCTCTCTTCTTCCCAAGTTTTATAATCAGTAAATGAGAAAGATCACAACTGTCATCTGCCCAGCCCTGGGGCAGTGTGAGACAAAACAAGAAAGATATTCTTTTAGCAATTGCTTCCCATGTCAATTAACAGAAAGGAGTTTTCATTTAGTTTATTGGAAAACAGCATCTTCCGCTGAGAGGAAACTAATACAAGGAACAAATCTGGATTGGCACAGACTATGGAAGGAATAGGATGTACCAGGAAACAACCACCTACTTATTAATGAACGGAAAAAGCTCTAAACTTATTTTCTACTACTTTGAATTTATACCTCAAATTATGACAATATTTGTTGAAATAAATATTAAAATAATTTCTAAAAATCATGTAAAGACAAACTAAACGAATTTGGCTGAGATATGTGAAAAATTTGATGGCTATGTGAAAAATTTGATGGCTTTGCAGGCAGAGGATTTAATAAGTGATACTGTACACACACCTGAGAAAATAATTTGGTTCTTACTTGGTTTGCCTCATTATAAATAGTGCATTGATTAAGCAGAATTTTTTTTTAAACTACAGTTATTCTAAAGGTTCTATTTAGATTAAAATTAATTAAAAGTCCTAATAAAATTAATAAAATTTAGAAAATGGCTGTATTCCTGTGATTGAAAAGGCTGATGTATGTTGTTTTTCATTCAATGCATCATTAAAGAGTAAACAAACTGTTATAGTCAGCTGGGCTGAATTGAAAATAATAATGGAACTGAGAACAGTGTGTTTGAAAATTTGAGAAATCTGACCAGTATATGCAGTGTTTCTCTGGAAAAGCAGATAATTTCAGGAATGACTTCATTCCAGAGTATAGATATCACGTACTTTTGTGGATCTAAATCGACCTTTCTAGATTATTTCATGTAGGTAAACTCCAAACTGTAATGAAACTATCTTTAGTGTCTTATACATTTTTTACAGTAATATTTGTTGTGAAAATGATTCTTGTACATACCTTTACAAGTTTCTTGTACATAACAGAATATCAATTATTCTAAGATGTTTGCAAGAGCTTGAAATTATTATCCTGCTGTTATGAAAGAGAAAATCTTTATCATTGGATGCACAGCTGGATCTCTTTTTTAAGTTGCCTGGAAATTAAGAGAGGCTGATTTGTATATGTCATTACAGTAGAATATTTTTTGAGTCTGCTCCATTAAAATGGGTGAGATTCATCTGAGATACGGCTGAGATCAGGTTGAGGCTGAGAAGACTGAGGTGTTTCGCTTGCAAACTCTACAATTAATTTTTAATAATGAATATAATCAGCACTTAATGATTCAGAGGCATGTTTACCCCTATGCACTTGCTTAATATATGTGTGCAGGGAACAGCTGTGAACTTCATCTTAAAAGAATATTTTATATACACTTTGTACAAAAGAGGAGAAATTACTGCAAGTCTGAGCTTGCATTTTGAAATGTGAACTAAATTGTATTTTATGGGAAGGGTACTACTCTTTTAAAACTTTTTTCTTTTTTCCTTTTTTTTTTTTTCCTCAGAAAAGGAAATGCACTAGAAGTTGGATTTGTAAATAGCTTTCTCTGACCCATTATGAAATATTTCAAATTTGGTAAGTAGGGAAGAGAATGAAAATACATTGATTTTACAAGGGGGTATAATTTTTAAAATAATTTTTCATGGACATATTTTTTTGGCTAACTCCATTGATTATTGCCTACATCTTTCTCAAAGCTTCTTTGGGTGGGTGAAAAGTTTTGTACTATGCAAATACAAGCTGTGATTATCAGTTATCTGGTGTTCTTATTGGTTGTTCACCAATATGTTCTAATACAATTTCTATGAAATATGTGCTTTATGCTGTAACTATCAAAAGTTTCAGTCTCTGCTGTCAGTAGTGGACACAATTTGCAAAGTAAACTTCAGTGGCAGATGAAATGCCACAAGTTTTGGAAGAGTTTCACCACAATAAATTATCAAATATGTACTTCTGCCTCACATAAATGACTGGATAAAATTCCCTTAACTTCTATGATCAGGATTTTGGCCTGAAGCATATGGACTTAATTAGGAACTGAGATATTTGAAAACATGGCTTCTGTTTTAAGTAGCTCTGGGTCAGGGTCAGGGTGGGAGGGGCACCAGGCAAGTTACTGCATGAGTTTCAGGAGGGAAATACTGGATTTCCAGAGGACTTTGGGTGAGCATGCTGCTTCATCCAAGCAGGGCACTCCAGGAGTGGCATGCATTTTCCTGCTACCCTGTCTTGTGGCTCTTGACTAGAACTCATGTGTGGGACATATGTTAGGGTTGAGGTGACATTTTCATAGGCCCAGCAGGCAGGTCACAGACAAGGTACACGTCTGTTTGCATCTTGTTCAAGGTACACGCCCTTCCATTATGAACCTCTTCCTATTCAGCCATGACTCTGCACTCCTTTTTGCACCTTCATATTTAAAGTTGCAATTAATTCTTTAACACTTTGGAACTGAAGATTAGCACACATTCCAGCCAAATAAAAAAGTGAGATGGTAACTGAGAGGTGTTTACAATGTGGAGCAGCAGGGTTGTGTAACAGTGTGTAATTCGTGTGTGGTCTGCTGAGAAGTGCCAATCTGTGCAATCTGTAATGGCAAAAAGCCAGAAAAGAGGCCATAAAAACTGGCACCAAGTGAAGACAAGGTACTACAGTTTGAGTAGAGGTACTAGAGGTACTACAGGTTCTTAGAGTTAGTAGCCCATGACATATAGAGGGGAAGGAACATATGGGGATTTAGTGCCTTTTCCTATGCAAAACCTGACAAATCAAATTCTGACTGTTCTGTTACAAAACAAAATGTTTGCATTTCATCAAGCCATAAGGATGGAACAGTTAAATCAACACATAGGATTGGTGGTGTCTGATTTCAAAATAGCTTCCTAGTCCCAAGAAATTTCTTTATGGAGATTGTCAGGGAACTTACATAAGTGGCTTTTCTCTCACATGAGGATTTGAAAAGCAGAAGGCTCATGATTTTCAAATCATGCAACATAGCTTGATATCACTCATGAAGTGACACACATGTCAATGGGGGAAAAAACACATATGATAAGTGAAATATTTTCAGTATTTTGCTTCAGTGGAAAAATACAGTGACACTTTACTGAAATAAAAGGCAGCTAATATTTTAATTTTCTATATATATAAATGTGTTTGTGGAAGCTGTTATTAACACACACCTTACTGTAATGATTCATACAGATGTTAAGTAGGATTATGAGACAAATAAAGGCATAAGCATTCTCTTAAATCATGCTATACTGATCAAACAGTTCTGTGCAACATCCCAGCTATTCACTTACAACAAGAAAAAACATGATTAGTGCACATTAGTAGTGTGGTAAAATGAAAATCCTCGCCAAGCAATCATTACCCAGGCAAACAGTACTAAGAAACAAAGCCAAGTTTACCATTACAACAAATTTACACTCATCTAAGAAGTTATTAAAAAATTAATATTAATTTCATCAAATAACTAATGTAAGCCTGTATTTGCTGATTCAACAAATCTCCAAACACTGCTTAATTTTAAGCATGTAAGTTAATAGTTTTCATTTTGGGGTCCATAGATGCCTGGAAGACCCTGGCCAACAGAAATAAGGAAGAAAATTATAAACCTTTGAAGTTCATTGTTCTGCTGGTAAACTTACAAAAACAGCATGTTAAAAAAAAGTCATTTAATATAAATACTCTGCCTTATTGTCCATCTGAAAGTTAAGCATGTGTTAAATATTGGCTGTATAAATCTCTTTATTTTTTATGTTATAGAGAACAAAACCAAGAAACACTGTGGAATAAAAATAAATTAAACAGTGAGTTGGAGATACACTATGGCTATATGTCCCAGGTGATATCATGGCACAAAAGTTAATGTAAATTCATTTCGCAATTTTAAATCTTTAAAATGTTACATGGTGGCAACTACTTTCTCTAATGCAAATCATTGTGCCTTGTGTCCTTACCAAGTCCTTTGGTCAAAATAAAAGCTGAGGAACAGACTCAACAATTTTTGTTGAGCTCTTTTATAGAGCCCCATGTGCATGACAGCATTGATATGGCAGGAGTCTGTACCTTGCAAAGAGATAAAAAGAGCATTTTTGCTGTGGCACCATTGTGTATTTGTACCTGAGTGGAGAGTACAGCAGGATTTGGAAATAAGGATGATGTGAAACACAAAAAAGATTATTTAGTTGATTGAGTGTTAACCAGTGGTTGGAAGACCAGAGGTAAAAATAAATTTAGATAAAATTTCCTGCTGAAATTCTTTCCTGTTCTGCCACATCTTTGCCCTGTGGCCTCCAGACAGTCACACAGACCTAGAAAATCTGAAGATACTCAGGCTCCTACCTTCCCTTTGAAAACAATCAGGATATAAGTGCCTGAATACCTTGGTGAAAAAAGCCTTTAATCCTTGTGTTTGCTTCAACTCTCTAAGAGATAAATAGTGCCTCTCTGAGAATGTGATCATTTAGGTATGAAGTTTTAAGAAATTGTGGTAAAGAGGCCACAGAAGTACCTAAAGCAGCTGCTTTTCAGCAGGTAAAGCCTTCAAGGCAGCATAAAATTTTGGCAGTTGCAGTATTTGTTTATTCTCTGAAGCACTTTTGATTTTTATTTTGCTTCTGTGAGCACTCTGTGGGGGCTATCATTGGTCTTGGTTATCACTACAGATTCTGCTTTTATTGTTGTGTTATGGAAAAACCTAGTTCCTTAGCCTGAAACTGTTTGGAGTTCAGGATAGTAGAAGAAAAAGTGGGTTTAAATCATCAAAACTATGAATCAAACAGGATTTTTTTTTTTTTTCAACAGGAGTTTATTATCATTTTAATTTTTCTTTGCAGCAAAACCTTTGTTTCTTGAAGTGCTTTCCCAAAGCTAGGGCCAGAAAAGTCAATGCTCACACCTGTTATCATTGTCCACATTTTCTGGCACAGAGATTGATCTTGAATTTCATTTTTTCCCCAGGAGGAGGAACCCAGCTCTACAAAATAGACCCAGATCTTTGCTGAGTGCTTTCATAAAACTAATGGTAAGTTGCTGTGCTCCCAGCTGGGCATGTTAGCTTTCCCTCTTGATTCTGGATAAATGCTATTCAAATAGAAGATATTTATTATCATGATCATTATATGCTGAGCTGAAAAATTAATGTAGAACTGGGTCTATAGTTCTGACTAATAATTTTGCCAAAGCCAGAGGACAACTGGTCTGGAGAATCAGTAGAAAAACTCTGCCAAATATGGCCATGGGAGAAGTGCAAAGTAATGGTACTCTGAAGTAAAATGAAGTGCTTGGCAGCTTTTAGAACAGTTGAGAACATCACTCTGCAGTATTCATAGTGCCTGCCTCATCAAAGTCTGTAATGATCAACCAGCTTAGAGAATGGAATATCTGCTATGGAAATGTACAGGACCTTGCACAGTGGATGGAGAGGATTTGTCATGGTGCCTGGCAGATGGCCTGACTTGATCTCAATTAACTTTAAATACCCTTTGATGTTGAGAGTGCACTTATCCCATGTTGTCTGCTCTGATGGAACAGGATAAAACCTCTCCCAGAATGCGCGGGGCCCTGGGTCCTGCGGGCACCACGCCACTCATACCTTGACTTTAGGGTTGATGCTCATACCATGAACACATCCCCAGACATCACCCCGTGTGTGTGGTCACCTTCCCCAGCTCCTGGCAGAAAGGGCTGCTGTTCCCTTGCTGCAAGTGGAGCCCTGGTGGGCTGTGCCTCTTACTTAAGCTGACAGCTGGTGTCTTTGAAAGAGCAGGAGTTGTAGCCCAACCCACATCTCCCACATTGTACCAGACTGGGTGCTCTTTACCCTGCTCCTCCTTGCAGAGAGTGAAGCAGGTACATCCAGTGGCTCTGGCAGGAGAGGAGGGGATCATTTTGCAGACAGTAACACACTCTGTAGTGATCCCAGGATGACGTGGTGACATCCACAAAGCCCACTTTGGTCCCCTGTCCAATACCATGTGACTGGGGACTTGTGAAGCTCAGAGTCATCTTGACTAGTTTCTATGCTGTATATATTTCTATTCTGTATATATGTTACTGGGGTTTTGCCATACTGCCTGAGGCAAACTCCTGTCAAACTAAATTACATATGGTCACACAGGTGCAGATGATGAACTGCCTACAAGCTCATAATAGAGGTGTTAATATTGAGGTTGGTCTAGAAAAGCTCAGACCTGGACTGCTTAGCTTGAATTGTATCTTCAATTAATTTAGAATTATGTGTAACTACCAATCCCTACTGAGTCAATGAAGTGTCTGCATCCAGGACTGGTAAATTAGGTTTTTGGCACAGGGAAGTATTTTGTCAGGGCAGAGACACAAATGATAAATAAATTTCAAGTTGTCTCAGAGACATGGAGACAGAGACACTCTGTTCTGTAAAAGCAGCAAGGGACTGTGGTATGGTTCTAAAAGTCATATGGCATCACCTGAATTCAGAGCTTCCTTTTATTCTAAGACTTGGAAGTTCAGGCCAGACACTGTTAGAATGAGTCAGTGATGGCATGGCAAACTGAGCTCTACCCACACACACAGTCCAGTGATCCTACATACATAATTCTCGGATGCAGCACAAACTTCTGAGAGGTACTCAGCAGCCTCAACCCTCTTAAAGCCCCTGGGAAGCGAGGATGCTCAGTATGTTGTCAACACAGGCTCTAAAGTGCATTTCAGTTGTGTGCCTACCAGGCTCACAGGTTGGATATTCAAACTCTCCGAACTCGGTCAAACAAGCCCAGTTTACCTCACAGCCAGACTAAGTTCTAATTCCTCAGTTATTTCCACATTTAAATGAAATTGATCCATTCTGTGTTGGCTGCCTAGCACTTGTAAGAACTAAGGTCAAAATATATTTTTATAGTTTGGAAACTGTACTTTTGTCATTCACTCAATAGTGTTTGAAATCTCAATGTTTGAATTTCATAACAATAATAATAGTATTGCTTTTGAATGAGAGCTCAGCATAGCAATTATCAGCTGAGGCAAAATGAATGTTTAAAAAATTATCACTATCTGAACCTAAGCTTTTATACTGCAAGATGTTTTATAATCTAATTGAGAAGAAATCCTCATATTCTAATAAAATAAAGTAACTGGAGACAAAGTGAAATAAATAGCAGCAATAACAATACTTCTTGTGATTAAATATTTCACATTTCAAGGATGCCTATTCACAAAACACTTAAATAGCTCATCAATTTGGCCAATTTCCCTTGGTTGTGAGGAATGGAATGCCTTAATCTGAGTGGACATTCTCTCTGTACATCTACTTTAGAGAGACAGTTTATGTCCAAATTTTGCAATTAGACTGCCTCATGTCTGTGTAAATGAATCAGTCACAGTACACATTTTGGTGAAGCATAGTCACTTGCAGGCTTGGGTTCTCTTTAGATCAAAGGGCAAACCACTCCACAGAAGAGATCAGCTGAATGGGGAGAGCAGAGTTACGGAAGAAACATCCTAACTGATGAGCAGGCAAAGTGCTCGAAAGGTTGTCAGTCATGTTATGCTTCCTTTGATAGAAAAGCATGTTTGTTTTTAGTCTCTTCAAGCCTTGCTAGTACTGGGCAGCAGGGATAATGTACAGCAGAGTTCTCAGCTGCTGTGCTGGAAACTGGGAGATCTCAGCACTCCTCACAGTTAGTCCCTAGATTGGGACAAGATGGTGGCCATCCTGAAAAATAATCCCGAAATTAGGATGGCACCTGACTTTCCAGGAAAATGCTTCTGTAAGTGTCTCAGTATTTAATAAAGGGTGTCTGATGTGCTCAGCTGCACAAGCAGACACGAATACATAAATATGACTTTTCTAGATTTGAATAAGAAAATTAAACAACTTAATTGATGTCTGTGGCATTACACCTGGTTTCTAGAAATGCTGAATGGGGCTCTCTCTCCAGGTCCATAAAGTTCTCTTTACTACGTATGTAATTATATTGATGTAATGTCTGTCTTTTGCTTTTATGATAAAGTAATACACAAACCCCTTCTAATTCCTTACATCTTTTTTTGTTTTATTTTATAAATCTAAAGAAAAAGTGGTTCATAACAGTCTTTACAAACAAGCTGCATCTGTTTAATATTAAAGTGAAAAAAAATCATAATAGAACCATTACTTTGGAATATCCAAATAACCTGAGGAAAAATAGCATCCATCTGGTCATTGGTATAACTGTTTTTTACATCAGTTGGCTGTTTCTGGGATTGCAAGATTCAACACTTATCTTTAAGTAGAGTGAGTTTCTAAAGATGTAGCATCCAGAAACTTGTGAGTAATCTGTCTGCTTAGAAGTACAATATTGTGTTACCAGATCTGCTGAGCAAAAGCACAATAAAGTTAATCCTTTGGTTCTGGAAAAGCTGTAGGTATTGCAATGGCAGATGTGCTGAAACAGAAGTGTTTACGTTTGTTAGGGCATGTGAAGCAGCAGCTCTGCCAGCTCTTGAGTATTTGAATTTCCTGCAAACTTTTACCTAAGGGCTGTCGTGGGGAAGGAAAAGAGCTCAGAAGGAGTCTCTGCACCCTGTTGGCAGGCTGGAAAATCTCTTTTGGTGAATTGGTTGGCATGCACATGCATTTTCTCATTCAACTTATTCCCTGTGAATGGAGTCATTATGGCATTACAGTGCTTTTGGTATATGGGGTACTGTATTACCAAAATCAATACTCTGTTATATTTAATATATTTTCCACCTCTTACTACACCATATGGAAAGGAATAAAAATGTTAGGTCAAGGATTTTGTACTGTGGAGGTGCGATATGACTCTGGTTTGGCCAGAGTTTTGAGATGGAGCTGCCTTCCAGACCTTTGCCAACAGTGAGCTCCCCCGAGAAGTCTGTCAGACTTTAAACTCACAAAGCCAGGTTGTGCAGAGCACAAACAGGAACGGTAATCTTTTGATGAGAGGAAACACAAAGTGTCTGGGTAAGAACTAAAATCTAAATCAGTAATTTATAACATTTTCCCTGCCTACAAAATCCTTGCTAGCAGGTCCTTGACTTAGGGACTTCAGATTGCAATTAATTCTGTCCAGAATAAAGAAAATCCTTTCTTCTGTCCCTTCTAATGCCTTGCTGGCTGCTGGCTGCCCTTTCCTACCATCACTGTGGGACTTGCGGACTTCCAGCTCCATGCTATATCCATCTTTCCCAAAAGAAGGCACAGATTCCCCCTTAGCAAGAAGGAGTTCTTGACTGGCCACTTTTCAGGGTCTAATTATGTTGAGTTATAAAAAAGATGGTGGTGAAGAAGATCATAGTAGCACTTAAAAGAGTTTGTGCTGGGGATTTCAAAACATTATATTACTATCCCTTAAAAGTTGGAAGCTTTTAGTTGAAATCTCACCGGCAATCAAAACACAAATGGAAATGGACTCCTAAAAGAGTGAAAAATTTTGACTTCACCAGCAAAGTGGCCATAAAAGACCTGGGAATAGACCGCAACTCCACTGATTCCCTTTCTATTTCCCATTCCATACCAACACAGTCAGACACACTCAGTTTGCTCTTTGGATGATCTGAACCCACCTCCATGGTCTTTTCACTAAAAATATCCTAGTTCTTCATCCAATGTATTGACAGTTTTGTTCTTCCAGAGAAATAAATCATTATGAGGAATGCCAGCAAAGCAGAGGGAGTCCCAGAGGTCCAGTATAAAAAGGAAAGACCATAAGACCCTGAGCAGTGCTGTTGGACAGGGAATGGCAGTAAGATGGAACAAAAAAGCAGAAGAGTGTTCCTGACATAACAGTGACATTTTTGCTGTTGTCACAGCTGAGTATCAGCACAGAGCTTTATCAAGAGCCAGAATACCACGGAACTAACTCCTGTATAAATACAGATTGAGAGGCCAGTCCTTGCCCTGAACCATTTACAAAGTATGTAAGAGAGACACAAAGAAACAGTAAAACCTTATTGATAACATTAATAAACAATAATCATAGAAACATAGCTTTAAATTTTTGGTCTGGGTTCTTTTTTTTTTTTTTTTTTTGCAGGTAGTTTTTCAGAAGAGTTTATATCAGCATTTTGAAGGAGGATAATGAGATTACTTGAAGCCACCAGAGCTGCTCCCAGGAGATGAAGTCTAGAAAAGAACTGAAAATCAAGCAAATAGGTGTGGGTAAGTGCTCACTGTATGGGTGGATGGTACGAAGAAGCTTATGTCTAGGGACTCAACATGATGCAGGAGGTCAACAAAGAATTTTTGAGTAAAGCCAAAATCTTGTATTGGCTGACAAAAGGAGGAAATATAGTGGGACACCTAAGAAGGAAATCATAGTAAAAAGTTTTTCTTGTAGCAGCATTTTGGATGGATGGATGGATGGATGGATGGATGGATGGATGGATGGATGGCAGGCAATAGGTTAAATCTGCACTCACCAAAAACAGGAAAAAAAAGGAAATATCAGCATCAATACATAATATAATGAGTGCAGGACCTTTAGCTTCATGTAATAGGAGAGAACTGTTAAAGTTTCAACAGAGCTGAAGCACGAAGACCTAGAGAAGCTTAGGTCAGAAATTATATCATAAGTATGTGTGACAGGCAGGAACAAGATTCTGTCAGGGTGGTTCAGCCTAATTCAGAAAAACGCTTTGTTGACACCATAACAAGTTCCCCAAATAGGCTTTAGGGCTCTTATTTGCCATGTGTGGTATTTACTGTGCTCGGTGGTAGCAAGCTGCCCATTGCAAAATCTGAAGAGAAAAGGAGGTAATTTGGAATAGAATGTTTACTGTGATATTTCTGTGGAGGGCTACATTTTCAGGTAAGGTGTAAAATACATGAAAAAATAACCACGACAGAACTTGTGGAACTTCTAGAGTAGAAAAAGGCAGATGAAGAAAGTCCTTCACAGAACTTGAGAAAGATAAGCCATCAGGTTGCTCATGCTCAAGGAGTAGATATCTGGCAAATCAGAAAAAAAAATGATTAGGTGTTGGTTCTTACATCAACAAGAACCTGTAAGAGATTTTGCCAGAGCAATTTTGGTGGAACATTAAAGAAGTCAGATTCCAAAGGGCTTGAACTAAAAGTAAAACAGAAGGCTAATATAAAATCCAGGCAGTGATTTAGATTTTGTGTTCACTATTTGCATAGGGGTGGAAGGGATCTTGTAGACTGCCAAGTCCATTCCTCTGCTGCTATAAGCAACTGTATCTCATAGTCTATACATTTACTAAGCTTCGCACAACAATTCTATTTCCTTTCTTCCTAGTTTTAGTGGAAAGGTGGTACAGAACTTCAGTCTTTTGATAATCAGAAACTTTAATTTATGGGTTGAATTTATTAATTGCTCATTAGTAATCATTTGTTCTTGTGTCATAATTGTCCATTTGCTTAAGTATCTTTTCTCTCACTTTAGTGCCTAACCTGAATGTATTTATAGAGAGCAATTATATTCACTCTCAGCATGAATGAGCTTAGAGATGAAAGGGAGAAGGAAGCAAACATGTTGCTTCAGCCTGGACCAGCTGGAATCTCTTTGTTCAGACTCATGTAAAATGTTTTGCAGCAGCTGAATCTGGAAGCAGCATTTGTGCAGCTCATAGAAATATGATACAGATCTCACCACCTCACAGCCAGATGAGATGGGAATGGACATAGCAAGCAGGGATATTGTTTGAATATCCATGGGTGCTGTGGACCTGAGAACACCAAAACTACAGTCCAGCTTAGCTGGAGAAAAAAACATCTGCTTTTGGCTGATATAAACACCCATGGTAAGAAATTGTAAGCATTTCCCATTATCCCTTGTATTTTTCTAGTGTTGGGAGTTAGGTGTCTGTCTGTAATGGGTTATCACCACCTATGTGACTTATTTTGAAGAGATGTTGTCTTCTGTAGACTCTGGAGTCAGTTCAGTCACTCTGGAGTCTGTTCTTTCCTAGCATTGTTGTATGGCTGTATCCCAGAGATCTTCACACTCAGCATAATTAGAGAAGAGCAGGGATTGCCCATCTGGAAGACTGTGTATTATAAATTTCTTACACAAAATAGATTGAATAATTCAGGCACAACATTCTCCACCATAGCATGTGTTCAGATAAGTGTCTTAAAAGAGGATTCCTTAAGGGAAAGGCAATTGCACTAAACTATTCTTGTTTGGTGGCATCTCATTGCCAGCATCAGGAAGCACAGCTGAACACCTGTGTTAAGAGATGTTGGATACTTTAAATGTGTGATTGTACCTCATCCCTTTGGATGTAAATTTTAACTGCCTGAGACCAGTTTGTTGTGAATTGTTTTTTTAAACACATTTTATATAGGAAGGGCTTTTAGATCTGAAACTGCTTATTCCTCCTATATGTGTGCCATCATTCATGTTGAAAAGTATGATTTTTTCCCAGTCAAAATTTTCTTGGGATTCCATCAACTGCAGAAACAATGTAAAGTTAAGGGCCTTTAATTCTGTTGAAGATGTGTGGTGTATAGTAAAATGAAGAAATAGAATAAGATGATGACCACTGTACCTGCTGTAGATTAGTTACCCTGTGGAATAATGCATCTCATCAGCTCTTTTCTTCTGGAAAGTGGTTTTTATCTTGGCTTAAAGCTAAACCCTGCTCTCTCCTTGTAACTGACCCTTATGCATCTTCATGTAAGGGCACAATTTGTACAAATATGAGTTCTTTTCACAGTTCAGTACAAACCATTCTGTCTTTCCTAAGAGAGACAGATATACAAGAGTAGTGCAGGTCAGGGTTGTGGTGAGCCACATAAGGAAGCTTGTGCAATACCTGATTTAAGTGTAAGATTCTCACAGGGTTTTCAGAGAGGAATAAAAATGGTGTGGTTGGCCATGGTGTTTTTCAAAGGAGCTCTGCATTAAGATTCTGGAGACAGGTTTGAGTTCACCTGGTCCATTGCCCTGAGCTTGCCTGATCAGGGAGGGAAGGCCCCATGGCCATGGAGGAAAGGATGTTGCAGTAAATAATCCGAAAATCAAATCTGGCAGCCTACTCAGGGAAAAGGAATGAAAAAGTGGAGGTGGCAGGAGGGGTTTTTAAGTCTTTCAAGAAGGGTGGTGGTTTGCTTCAGCAGCACAAACACACAACTGAAACAAGGACAAACGCAGTGTGGAAAAAGCCTGTTGGATACTTGTCTTTGCACAACAACTTCTTCATCAAGAAAACAGCTTAAACACAAAGAGTTTTGCAATAAAACTCCAGTTTGCTGGCAGTGCCCTCACCTGTCTCCTCAAAATATCTGACGTGCTGGTTCAGGTGTAGATTTTAAAATAAGCAACAGTCAGCAGACTGAAATCAGAAAAATGTGGTGACCAGGCACAGAAGGATGTACTCACACACTTTAGAAGCATGGAGTACAGGAAAGGGGCCTGCATCTCCCACAGGGAGAAAAAATTGGATCATAAAAGCATTTGCCTGAGTCAGATTTGACCTGCAGACCACTAGCTAGACCCAACAGCTAAATAAATACCTCTGTAGGAAAATTTTTAATTCAGAGATGTTTTGAAATGAAAATATAAAATATTTCTCTTCAGGCTACGTCAGGTTGTTTAGGGAGGACCAAAGCAGACAAAAAAATTAGAAATCTGTGATATCAAAACTGAGTTTACCAAAAGAAAGGTTTAAAAAAAAAAATTGAAAAACTCTTACTTGAACTGTAGGAACCGTAAAAAGTTCAGTTCCTATGAAGACCTTTATTTTTAACAAACAAAACCTGTCTGCTGTGAGAAGACTCACCAGGTTGATTCTCTTGTTATAAAAATATGAAATGCCCAACATACCCAAGAAAAAACCCAATCTCTCAAGAGCTCCAAATCCAGACAGGAAGAAGGTAAAATCACCCTGAGGAGCCTGGGCACTTCTCTAATGTCAGTGACTAACTGAAGAACATCCCCAACCTTACAGTGGTGATCAGCAGTGGCAAACTCTCCAGCTGGTGTGAAACTTCATCTCCTTGAGACCTGCCACAGCTTGGACACAGGCACTGAAAAGTCATGGTCCAGATCAGGGACTGCTCTGCTAGACACTGTATAGAGATAACACAAAAAGGCATGTGGCAGCAATGCCACACAGTTGTGGGATTTCTTTTGGTTTTAATTGGAAAAAAACCCAACCCTGCAGTTATCTGATGCTCTTGGTCTATGTACAGAGCACGTTTAAAAATACAATAGGCATTCAAATGGGAACATTATTAATTAAAAGCCTCCGCGTACTGTACAAATGAAACATTCTTCTCTCTACCTACTCAAGTTATTCATTCAGAAAAATCCTGGGAAAATAGTTAGGCTTTGCAATGTGCCCCATAGGTCAATGTATTCAGACTCCCAACAGACCAAGTGGAAGGAGCGAGTTCCAGAACAGCAAAATCTTCACTCTCAAAGGGAGCACATTCAGAAATGTGCACGCTCACAGGAAAATGGCTCTAGCTCTTTACCCAGCTCCAATTTAAAATGAGTCCTTTAGTATATGTATGTCTAAGCAAGGAAGAGATGCTGATCTATGCTCCTGCCTGGAGCACAGCAGTGGGAAGGACTTTGAAGCCCTGTAGGGTTTCAGACCCACAGCTTGCCTGCCTTGGTTTTTTTTCTACTGTATATGTTCTAAAGGGATCAATTTATACTATATATTTATATTTATGCCACAACAGCCCCTTTTCTCTATGTCCAGCCACACTACATCCCCTTTATTTAATAATAGAGGTGTCCTTGAGAGCCAAACTGTCCATGGGCAGCTCAGCGACAGGATGTTCCAGAGCATATCCGTAAGTGCTGGTCTCACAACTGTTTACTTTTATTAAAGTCCCATATCAAAAGTCCTTTTTTAGTATAAGGATGGGTCAAAGTCTGTCTGCTGAAGCCAGAGCCAAATTTGCCTCATGCTTTAAAGTTTGGTGTTGTATTTCAGATCCATCCCCTAAATCACACTGGCTTTCAGTGTTCAGATCAGAACAATCCCTATCTTATTTGCTTGCTGGCTGCAAAACAGTAGGAAGATTGTCAATACCCTTCCCAGGCTCTAATTAAAAATCCAAACTCAAATTTAATATTTCAAACATTATTTAAAATATATTAAAATAGTCAGTCTATTGCTGTTGCTCATTACTCTGTTGAAACCTAATATTAGTAACAGCATGTACAGAGGACCTGGAGCATGAATTAATAATGAGGTCCTTGTGCTGGAAAACATGCGAGAACTTGGTTCCCTGAGCTGGCAGGGACTGCTTTGCTCTTCTCTGCACACTGATCAAGTCTTCTGCTCATTTCTGATTACTTTGCTTCCTCTGACGGCCATTCCCCAAAAAATTTTCCTGAAGATGACAGGCCATCAGAAATGAAAAGGACTACACTGGGGCAAACCCTTAAGCTCAAAGGCACCGTGCTATGGATCAAG